GTGGGGGTACCCCTCGGTCTCATTTCTTTCTGGGTATACACTTCAAGGTCCAGCGGGGATATGCATGTACACAAATGACCAAATTATACTTGCTTATTTGTGACCCTCTCTGTGAAATGAGTCACTTTATCAGGGCCACTTTTGTCAAGGTCTGTGAAAGAATTTAGACAGCGTTGAATAGTCAAGGAGATGGGGGCAGCAGAATCCACCCCCCCTTCCTGGTTGACATTTTTGCCGATATCGGCACAGTGTCTGTTTCATGAGCTGAACCTTTAGGAGTTTTAGAGTAACTCGTTGTGGTCACTTTTACACCAGTTTTGTGAAAATCGAACCTACTGTTGTGGCGCAGCGCCCATTTTCCCTAGAAACGTCAGCCACTGTGGCGCCCAGTGCATGAGGGCTGGCATGCATGTAGCCTTGAAATTCAAATGACCGTAACAACAAAACCATACATGTACGTCTGATTGGGTTCAAACTCCACATTTATAATGATAACAAGAGTCTTTATGTGCATGCCAAGTTTCAACAAAATGGAGCTTGGCACGGGCCCAGCCGAGTATTCAGGGAGGCAGAATTCCCCCGGCGGACTGTGAGCTGGTCCGAAACAACCCAGCTCTTTGAGGGTTAAGCAATAGGAATGCTCAACATTTCATAATCTACACCGCGTCAGTTTTCATCACACTAAATTGAGGGACGCATCAAAAGAAAGAGCTCGAATTCCTCAGTGTAATATAAAGTAAAACTCAAAAGCGGCTTCGGTGATTTGTGACTCATTTTCACAGAGTGAGTCACCTACATGTATTTTATAACACTCTCTGTCCAAAAGGTAAAAAAAAAACATATCGGGGTTTTTCAAACAAGTGAACTGTTTTAATTAAAATATAAAAAGAACTTGTATCGTTTCAGCAGGCAATTCAATAAAGATTGCTTGTAATTTCCCTCCATTTAGTTTTTGAGTCTTCACTTATCTTGCCGTGCGAGGGAGCTGCAAGCGGTCAAAATGTTGAGGGTAGTGCTTGACTAGGCACCTTTGATGATTTGGTTTAACTGTTGAAATTGTATCTGGGTTTTTGTCTTGCTTAGTTTAGTGTTCATTGCATCAGTCCAGCTTTACAGTTACAGGTGATAGTCAGAAACTGACAAGAACGATGATTCTGATGCCCAACGTGTTGGCCTCATGTAAATGACTTAGCTACGGCTGGAAATACATGTACATGTGACTTGCACTCCTGTGGAAGCCACTGTACATGTCTTGTGGCAGGAACGGTGTTTCCATCAGTCAGAAGTCATGAAATACACGTAGTCTCGAATTCTCAGAAATTTGATGGCTATTTCCTGAAATTCAGTAGCCTGCATCATTTACATCGGCTCTGATCGTACTATATTGTGTTTTCTTTTTGGGCAAAATGCCAAAACATTTATCATATCTTACCCCTGTTCATGCTGAAAAGCCTGGTTTGGTCGCACTAAAGCCAGGGCCCCCCTAGCCAGAAAAAAAAAATCCAGCCGCCCCCCAGCCAAATCCCATAGAACTGTGTGTTAAGATGTCCTTTGTGTTTACACATTGGGTTATTTTACAAAGACCGTGCCTAGGCCAGGCAGCGGAGTGTTTTTTTTATCAGTGGCCGGTTTCGGCTGTCTTTGAAGTATTATTTTGGTTGGGGGTGTTGTGGCCTGGCTAACATGTGGCAAGCCCCCCCCCACCTCAAATCAGGATTGCTCGGGAAATGACACCCCCTTGCTATTGTGGTACCCCTTTTGTGGGTTTTCCGAGCTGTTGAACCATGCAGCAGACATACCAAAACGGCCATCATCATGCCCTTTGGCCTTTTTTGAGTGAGTGCGCATGTTATTTGGTTTACGGAATGCAGCACAAACATTCCAACGGTTAATTTGCGAAATCACGCGCAGACTCCCCTTTGCTTTTGCCTATCTGGATGACATCTTCGTTGCTAGTTTATCCTTGGAGAAACATGAAGAACACGCCTCCTTTTTGACCGCCTTGCAATGAATAGTGTTGTTATCGACCGCAGCAAGAGTAAGTTTGGTGCAACTTCGCTTAACTTCCTCAGACACGTGGTCGACCAACAAGGGATACACCCCGTCCCAGACAAGGTGAGAGTTATTCGCAAGTTCCCTGTACCCAGCTTTTTAGACAAATTATGCGAGTTCCTAGGCCCAGGTTACTTCTACAGGCGCTTCATTCCTAAATGCACAGACACTATCCAACCCCTCACTGACTTGCTTAAGAACAGAAAGAAGACGAATGAGCCCATTATCTTCAACGACAAAGCTAAGTCACCATTCAAGCGTACTTATTCGCAGTTAGCTGATGCCACGACGCCCGTTCACCCCAAGACTGACGCCCCACTATAGCTCCATTGGTCGACGCATCTGACACTGGAGTTGGGGCTGTCCTACTGCTTAGTAGGACGGCATTTGGCAACCACTTCAGTTTCCTTCTTTTCCAAACAACTGCAACTGGCGGAGAACCGCTACGTAGTACGTTTGGAGCAGAGCTGCTCGCTGTCAATCTAAGCGTCTAACCTCAATCCGTCACATGTTGGAAGGCCGCTCTTTCTGCGTATAATATACGGACCACAAACTACTACCGTTTGATTGTTTCGTTTTCAAATGGTACATGGTGTTGAAATGTGCTTATGTAAATCAGTCGGTCATCAACTCGGTTCATTGCCTTTGCTAGGTTCCTAGTCTTTTTAGGACACTTTCATTCCCTTTTAAATCACATACATGTAGAAAATTTACCGAATTTAAATTTCATACTGATTTATTCCACGGAGCAAACGACTCCCTCCCCCGCTGCGCAATGGAACCTTTTAATTTGTGACCCTGGTTGTTATAAGTCAATAAAATGGGAGATGGTGCGCCGTTCTTGATGTCGGTTTATTTCTGGAAAACAGGAAATAACAAGTCTTTCCCGGTCAGCATTCGAATAACGCTGACGAAGTTCCCGTTTACGTCGCCTATTCTGATTGGTCGATGGATTGCAATCATAAGAGAAAATATTTAAATACCAAAAGGGTAACTGGCGAAACTACAAAATTATAAGAGGGGGGTCGTTTTTCAGTTCGGTGACAATTCCATAGTACCGATGCAAAAATGCACGTTAGTAAGGGATGCAAGGCAAGCAAATGGGAGACGACAGAAGCGCAAATAAATAGCGGCAACGAAATTGGTTGAACTGGAACCAAATTACCTGCAGCGTGCAACAGATGGACAAAACTCACATTTTTATCCTTCATGACACCATTGCAATCTCCTGAAAGCAGTCAAGGTTAAATGGACGATAGTGAAATGGTACAATAACAAACATAACTATGATCAATACAAAGAAAGCTAAGTACATGCACCCGTAGTGCAAAATTAGCTGGAGGCCGTGTTGGAATACAATGGTCGAAAACCGTGACTGACTTGGGGCTATGCACATGGTTCACCAATGTAGCAATATGTACAACTTATGGACAGTCCGTCCGCGTACCAAAGGGATTTGTTATGAAGCACTCACGTTACCCGGTCTAGTCGACGTCATTTTGCATTGCAGTGACTCGCTGAGCAGTACAGGAAGTGCAACTCCGTGAACTCACAGGTGGGTAAATGCTTCACGTTAAACTTTCCAAAAAGCAAATGTATACACGCATATGTCCCAGAGTTATTTGGAGTCATGCTGTATATGAGGTTGTCTTCATTACCTAGGATTGTAATGCGTTTATGTGTTGAAGCTTTACTTGAATGTTCGACTTTTCAATGAAAGTGACAAAACTGAAACTAGTTCACGACGACTGTAGGCAAACAACTTATTGATGATTTCATAACTGCAGTTACATGACTCATCCACAAAGTGTTTTTTTTTTCAATACGCTGTATGGGAATATTCATTGTGTTAAAGTAGCCGTCCTGAGGCATCCCATTCGATGTCTCACTGTCAAAAAGATAAACTCCCTCTATGAAAAATTGCTCTGGTATCTTTCTCTGCAAATGCATCTCTAGTCTAGTTTATCTTTTTTTTTAAGATTAGCAATGTTATAATGAAATGCACATCTAAGAACATCTGAGAGACGTCGATTGTGATTGGTTGCTGAGGACTACATCAACGTACCAACGTGGATGCCAAGCTTGACGATCACTAACAGCCCGTGTGAGTAACCTTTCCAACCCAAATAGTGTCATGCGGAGATATTTCCATGTTATTGTCCGTTTGTGCTTGTAATGTTTAGCGTGCAACAAGTTTTGGGGGCATATGGCGGTGTTAAGATCCAACTCACGTCAGTGCGCCACATGAGAGATTTGCATGAATTTAATGCCATAACTCTATGTGACTTGACAGTTTTGCCCACCAATGTGTCGTACAAGTTCAAATACTCATTGATAGAACATAATAAACCACGACTAGTTTTAA